TCTCGCAGGAATCAACAATTTATCTGCCTTAAAAGTTCGTGTGGATGTTTGTCCATGTAAGTTATATGTATAAAAAATACATCCACGATATAGGGGACATGCCCGGTGTAGTTACATTTTTTATTAGCTGCACTGATACAGACGTGCTATTATAGCTGCGGCGTGTCTCTTTTACGTACGTTTCTGTCCTGTTTTCTCATAAATCTTTAATGTAGCGGGAAAATATGTAGTTAAGATTGTGAATATCCTTCTTTATCGTTCATAAAACACACACAGTGTGAAATATTCGAGTTCCAGGTTGTATTATATAATCTTTTTGTTGTTACGTCTTTTCCCACATTCAAGAAAAATCCTATTCCATAATAAAGTACCGTGAAATGTTATTTGAACATGTTTTGTGGGAATAAAAGTTTAGATACAATACGATAAACAAGCATCGACCCAGATACCGTTAAAGAGTTATATTGTGCATCATTTCTGACTGATTTGACTATCAAACACCATACCCCAAACAGAATCGTTTTTTTTTTAAATAGGACTTTAATTTTTTTAATAAAATAGGCGAGGTTTTTTTGTCTATTGTCCATTTATTTTGTAATTAGTACCCTCTAATTTTTTTAATTTTTGTGTAGCATATAAGTTGTTTTATTATTCTCAACACCAACATTGCAAGTAACTAAACAAATTTGGTCGTACTTGTAGATTGAAGCTTATAAAATGAATGAATTCCTTAAAAGTATTTTTCTTTCAGAAATATTAAATAAGTCAATGTTAGGTATGCTACAGATGTACTTATAGATATGACCGACTGCGAAAACAGGTGATGGATACACGAGTGTTCAGGGGTGCTTACCTGGGAACGGATCACTATCTAGTGATTACTAGATTTAGGGGTCTGTTCGCGGGTTGGCGCAACCGGACGGCAGTAACAGAACCACAGTTGGTCTGTTGCATCCGAAGTTGGAAGCTTCAGGAAGCGGATACTAGGGACAAATATCATGCGAGGGTGGCCTAAAAGCTTGACACCATCGATGGCAGAAAAAATGTGTAGAAAGAACATGGCAGAACCTAAGGGATGGAATGGTAAGTGCAGCGGAAGAAGTATGTGGAATGATAAAAAGAATTAGTAGTACAAGAATAGATGCATGCTGGAATGATGAAGTGAAAGAAGCTGTAAAGAAGAAGAAGAAAGCATGATTAGACTACTTGGTCTCTAGTAATGATAAGAATATGAGAGAGAAGATGAAAGAAAGATACAAGCTGCAGAAAGTTCATACGAAAACATTGATTGAGGAAGTGCGTGAAAGGTGTAGAATGGAAGCGGACGAAAGTTTGTCGCACAACTTTAAAGAGAACTTCAAACTCTTCTGGAAAGAGGTTAGGAGGACCCGGAGTACTGCGACAGCCTTAAAAATAAACAAACTGCTTTCGAGAACCAATGACGTCCTCTCAGAAAAATCGGACGTCATGAAGCGATGGAGCGAATTTTATAGAGAAATGTATGCGTGTGATGATCTTAGTGAGGGATCCGGGGGTGAAACCGTGACTGGTACGCCAGACCTGGACCTTGATGACACTGAGGTCATCAGCATGAAAGAGATTGAACGTGCGATTCGAAGTTTGAAATGTGGTAAGGCTGCGGGACTAGACAGAGTTACTTCTGAAATGGTCAACTATGGTGGGTCTCGCGTCTGGGAGAGCTTTCATCTGCTGTGCAATTTGTGCTGGCGGACGGGGGATGTCCCGGATGATTGGCGATCCGCATTCATTGTGCCGTTATATAAAGGTATATGTTCACATTTTGACTGCAAGTGCTATCGGGCGATCAGCTTGACCAGTTTAGCAAGTAAAGTTTACTCGAAGGTTTTGACACGTAGGATGCAAGAGAAATCGGAAAGATTTCTATGGGAGGCACAATGCGGATTTAGACATGGAAGAGGATGCACGGATCAAATGTTTTCTCTCCGCATGATCACGGAAAAACTTCTGGCTGCTAACCAGAAGATTTTCTGTGAAGTAGCACTATCGGCATCAGCAGCCGAGGGTGCTGATGCCGATAGTGCTATCGAAATGTAAATCCAAGGTGGCGGCTGCAATAGATATCAAGTTTTTCATCTTGGGTGTCATTTTCATGATTGTCGAGGGTGTTGAATCCGATAGTGCCGTCGAAATGTAAATCCAAGATGGCGGCTGAATTAAGTACCAATTTTTTTCATCTTGGGTGTCAATTTCATGGTTTTCGAGGGTGTTGAAGCCGATAGTGCTGTCGAAATGTATTTAAACTACTTTAAAATTCCGTATAATCATGTTATACGTACCACGACCTCACAGAATACCAGCGTGAAGTAGAGGTTTACACACAGTCCACCTGATGGTAAGTGGTTGCTATGGCCCATAGACATCTACATCTATCCTCTGTTACAAATCAAAATGCAGATGCGTTGTCACCCGTGAGGAATAAGATGGAATGCCTCATTTCCAGTAAAAAGGGCCTCCGGCCACCTGCACTCACCAAGCGAAACGCAGAGGTAAACCTGAAAATCTACTTCACGCTGGTTTTCTGTGAGGTCGTGGTACCACCCCGGTTCGAGCCGGCCCATCCGTGCGACAGCAAAAGCTGCCGCGTGGCTCTACCACTGTTCATTATTTGTTTCTCTACCCCTCTACCTTCCTCCGCTTAATTGTGGTCATTGATCTACCTGAAGAATGTTGTCTTTTAATGCACAAGTTCGTATCTTTATTTATTTTTTATTTGTTATTTTTCTATTTTAGTGCACACTTAACATTTTTCCTTTTCTTAGTTTTATTTATTTCTTCTTCTGTGTTGTCTGAAAGAGATTGCTATGTAGCAATAAGACCGCTCTTTGTATTTCCCTTAATAGTTGTTGTGTCAGCAAATATGGGCATTTGAAATTTGCATCCAATAACGTTTGACGCGGCGCGTCATCCGATGGTATTGAGGTGACGTAAACCGCCGCCGGGCGGGGGGGGGGGGGGGTGCCGCTTCCCGGCATTTGGCCGCGTGAGCTGGCAACAGGCTGTCTTGAATGCCGCGGCCTAGTCGACAAGTTGCTAGCGACCTCGGTGTCGATGATACGGTTAAAGGTCGCGTGCCTCCTATGGCGTTATCTAAATTTGTACGTTTAGTGATAACGAGGCTTGTCTTAAAGTATGAAAAGAAATTGTTGCGCGACGGTCGGTTGCGTGCCTCCTATGGCGTTATCTTAATTTGTACATTTCGTGATAACGAGGCTTGTCTTAAGGTATGAAAAATAATTGTTGCGCGACGCTCGGTCGCGTGCCTCCTATGGCGTTATCTTAATTTGTACGTTTCGTGATAACGAGGCTTGTCTTAAATGACAAGAGGCCCTTTTGAGTTTTGAAACGCTAAAAATTTGTGACTCGAGCAGAGATTGCTTCGTGTTGGATATAGATTAATTGTGCGCGTACACCGGGGTGAGTAGAAATCTAGAAGAATAAATCGTTCACGAGGCTGTAGATACTGAGGCTTATCCTTGAGTTTTGAGTTATTAATTTAACTTTGATTGCAATTAATTTGCGCCGACGAATTGTTTGTGTGGCATTAATATCGTAACAAGACATTTTTGCTTATCGGGAGAACGCTGAACTTTGTGACTCGAGAAGAGACCGCGTTCGTTCTCGTGTTTATAATTTTGTGCTAACTGAACATGGGACATTGAACCTTGCCCGACCGTTCTTAAGTTTTGCAGCGTGTCACTTGTTTTAATTTCAATGAACGTTGATTTGGTTGACTTTGAAGTTAATTAAATGTACAATAAAGTTGCAAAACTAATAAAGTGAAATAGAAACAGAAGGTTTTAATTGGTGAACGCCCACTGGAGGGATCGCACATTTGGAGAAAAGCAGCGCCTGTGAATCTGCGGTTCGACTACATCGGGGATGTCAGGTTATATCTTACACTCTACTACAAACTACTTACATACACCCCACTTACCACCTGACTGGTACCCTGTGATCAACCCTACCTCCAGAACTCGGTAAGTTATTGTTGCTTAGCAGCCATTAATAATAATCCATAGGCCATTGGGCCCGAACCCCTGCCTGCTCGTCGAGGGGGCTACTATGGGCCCTAGTCTAGTCGATTGTTGCCGGGGCAGCTGGGGGCCGGAACAGTTGTTTATTTTGGCTTTTTGATATTTTTATCTTTTCTTGGTGTACAATAAAGAGTGTTGTATTGTATTGTTAAATACATATTATTTCAATAAGTGGATCGCAAGAGGGGGACCCATACCTTGGCCAGCTAGAAGTTCAAAAAACAAACTGATTCCAATCGTATCTGTTGAAGTTTCAAGATAAAAAATAATCGATACGGCAGATGAGATGAAAAGATCTTTAACCACTGCTGTAGTAAAAATTGGACTCAAAAACAGGATAAGAGTATAAGTGCGAAACAGAGCAGGACACGGGGCACACAAGTTGTAAAAAATACTAATAAATGTAATCATGTTCCTATTTAGATTGTTCTATTTTACGCCTAGGCTAAACACCGTTATTTGTTACTACTACCTGGGAACCTACATCTAAGTTTTTTTCTATTAATTAATAACAATACCCATAAATTGGACTTAATTGGACTATAACATTTTGATCGGTTATCAATGTGTAAAATAAACATCGAGTGAACTAAATTTGCAATAGACTAATCTGTAAACATTAATTATAGTCCAAAAATCAAAGTTATAAAGTGCAGCGTAATACGAATTTACCCACATTACGTTAGTTTTTACCAAGTGCAATCATCCGATCCGAACGCGTAAGCGTGTTCTAAACACGCATCACTTAAGACCTTCTTCTCGCGAACTCAACTAAACTCGCAAAACAAAGCAGCGTTCGGGGATTTTATTGCTGTGCGAATTAAACTGTGAATACTAACTATAACTCATTCCTTGTGGCCGTTACGGGTCATTTGTTGCCGTGCACTTTTTAAGTTATATTTTTGAGCATTAAAATAAAATAAAATGACTTCGTTAAACCTGGAATGGGGGTGTTGTACTGCAGGCAATGAAGATGACAATTATGTAAAATGCTCAAAATGCAAAGCAGCTTATCACTATCTATGTCTCTCTGCGGGACAGAAAAAGCTTATGCCCACTAACGTCCCTAAGGATTGGTTGTGCCCTAAATGCAGAGAATCAACACCCAAGGGGTCCAAAAATGACAACACACCAATTCGTCAGTTGCAGAATGTCACCGTGCGCCCTTCAAAAAGGCCTGCTATGTCGTCTCCACCGTGTAAACAAGACTCCCTTGTAACGCGTGAAGGAATCCGCGAAATTATGGAAGAAGTTCTATTAAAGCATATGGAGGATTTTAAGATGCATTTTTGTTCTGAATTATCTAGAGTGAAAGAAGAAGTATCTAGCATAAATAAAGCTATGAATTATATGAGCGACCAAGTAGAGGATATTTTGTTAAAATATAATGAGAGTCATAGTCTAATCAAAACGCTGCAAAAACGCGAAGGTGAAATGCAATCGAGTATTAAAAATCTCACTGCTCGCATAAACCAGCTAGAACAAAATACTCGTAGCAAGAATATTGAAATACAATGCGTTCCGGAGAAAAAATCAGAGAACTTAATAGGCATCGTAAAGCAACTTAGCAACGTAGTGGGGCTTGACCTTCAAGACGAAAACATTATCCATGTTACAAGGACAGCCAAAGTAAATCCTGAGAGTAAACGGCCACGTTCCATAATAGTAGAACTAAGTAATACAAGGGTCCGGGACTCTTTTCTGTCTGCGGTCATAAAATTCAACAGGCTGAAGAGTAACAAGAGTGACAAGCTGAATAGTACTCACCTTGGCTATTCGGGCCCCACTTCAGCAATTTTCGTCATGGAACACTTATCCCCTGTTAACAAATCACTACATGCTGCAGCCAGACAGATTGCTAAAGAAAAGGATTATAAATACGTGTGGGTGCGAGGCGGACGTATATTCATGCGTAAAAGTGACGTTTCAAGGTACATATACATTAAAGACGATAGTGTTCTTTCTAACTTAAAATAAAGCTTCATAAGCATGTTTCAGTGGACTTAGTACGCTAAATGGATAGTTTATCTGTCTACTATCAAAATACCAGAGGTCTAAGGACCAAAACTCATATGTTTTATAGTAAATTATTATTAACAAATTATGATATCATTGTATTAAGCGAAACATGGTTGAATGAAAGTGTATTAAGCTCCGAACTATGTGATAACCGTTACGAAGTCTTTAGAAGGGATAGGCAATCATCTGGGTTCCATTTTCAAAAGGATGGAGGGGGAGTGCTTATTGCTGTTTCTAAGAAATTTTCAGCAACTCGAATGATTAATTGGGAAAGTCAATGTGAAGATCTTTGGGTATTGGTAAAGGTACCATACTTAGATTCTTCAAAACACATAGCAATTTGTGCTGTTTATCTCCCTCCTCCAGTACAACAATTTATGCTAGAACAGTACATAGAAAACTGTAACTCTATTCTTGATAAATTTGAAGGTAAAATTTGTTTGATTGGTGATTTTAATTTGGGCACTATTGATTGGAATGCAATAAACTCGGGTACAGTACATAACCAAACTTCAAAAATAAATACAACTCTAGTAGACTTTTGTTATACTTCAAATTTTATTCAATATAACTTAATACGTAACAGTAACCAAAGAATTCTCGATCTTGTATTAACTGATTTACCAGTATGTAATGTCACATTAGCTTTAAGTAATCTCTCCGTTGTTGATCCACAACATCCTCCATTAGAAATTGAAATTGTGCTTAATACGAACCACGTACTTAATAACAATATTAATAATAAGAAAAATAATTACTATAAAGCTAATTATGATGCTATAAATAACTGTCTTGCGGAAATAAACTGGGAGGAATTGTTTTCCAAATGCCTCACTATAGATGAAATTATGGATAAGTTCTACACCGTATTAAATAATATTATTAAGATTCATGTACCGTGTACTGAGTTTAAGCAGAGCAAATATCCTCCGTGGGTTAATAAATCACTCCTACGACTGCTTCGAGAAAAGAACAAATTACATCGCAGGTATAAAATATATAACAATCCTTTAGATGAGGTAGAATTTAAATTACTTAGCAAACGATGCGAAAAACTGGAACAAAACCTATATAATAATTATATTGAAATGACTGAAACTACGCTCAACAAAAATCCCAAACACTTTTGGTCATTTATAAAATCGCGAAAAGAGGGAAGTAATTCTTATCCGAATATTATGACAGATGGGGTTATTTATGAATCCGACGGAACAGCTATATGCAACTTATTTCTTGAATCATTTTCGAAATCATTCGCTATAACAGACTCAGGAACTCAGAATGTAGCCAGTCCAACTTCTACTTATCTCAACTATATAGCACAAAATAGCTTCAGCCTTGGGACTATTTCGATATCTCGGAAGTCAATACTAAAAAAACTACAATCACTCGATACAAATAAAGGCGCAGGCCCAGATGAAATCCCACCTATTTTTATCAAAAACTGTGCTATAACACTGGCTGTACCTTTAAAATACATTTTTAATTACTCCTTATTGACAGGTGCCTTTCCAAGCGTTTGGAAGATAGCCAAAGTAGTTCCAATACATAAATCTGGCGACAAGAACTTAGTATCGAATTATCGACCAATCTCAATTTTGTCGACAATGGCAAAAGTTTTTGAATCTGTTGTTTGCCCCTCAATACAAAGCCATTTTCAGCAATACGTCAGCGTACATCAGCATGGATTTTTAAAATCGAAATCCACTTGCACAAACTTAGTCACATTTGTCGAAGGAATTGCTGAAGCTCTAGATAAACAGGAGGAAGTAGACGTTGTGTACACAGACTTCAGCAAGGCCTTCGACAAAATACCCCACTTACCTCTTATAGACAAACTTGCTGCCTATGGCTTTACAGGAATTTTTTCCAACTGGATTAATTCATATCTAACGAATAGACGTTTCTTCGTTGTTGCTAAAGGCTATAAGTCTGAAGCTCACAAGATAACCTCAGGAATTCCTCAAGGATCCCATTTAGGGCCAATTCTTTTTAACGTATATATCAACGATATGCCCAATAGTTTCCTTTATTCAACGCCCTATCTATTCGCAGATGATTTGAAAATTGCCAGAACTATTAAGTCCCAAGCTGATGTTCTTATGTTACAACATGATTTAAATAGGTTATACAATTGGTGCTGTACAAATGGGATGGAATTAAATATAGATAAATGCTTTTTTATTAAATTTACACGCAAACATAGTAAAACTAAATCCAAATATTATATTGATGGTAAACCATTAAAAGAAGTTGATAGAATTAAGGACCTGGGAATAATCCTAGATAACAAATTAACTTTCGTACCACATATTGAAAGCATTGTTAGGCGCTCATCTAATATGCTGGGTTTTATTATTAGAAACAGTAAAGTGTTCAAAAACTTACAGACACGTATCATTTTGTACAAAGCACTAGTACGCAGTCTTCTTGAATACTGCCCTGTTGTATGGAGGCCACACTATGCCACGCACATATTAAGAATAGAAAGGGTCCAAAAACGCTTTTTATGGCATTTATCTCACATCTCCAAAGTTTCAAAGAAAAAGTTATCCTATCATGAAAACCTCAAACACTTTAAAATGTCCTCGTTGAATAAAAGAAGAACCCTTTTGGACCTAATATTCACTTATAAAATTCTTAATAATCAAATCGACTGCCCTCAGCTCCTAAACCTTTTTAATTTCAGGATCCCGCTCAGGGCTCCAAGGAAACCCGTTTCTCTATTTTATCCGCCATTCCGCAGGACTGTTTTAGGAAAACATTCACCAGTTCCTCGTCTGTGTAACGCATTAAATACGTGGTTTATTGATGATCCCAAGGATGTTTTCTCTCTTAAACTTAACCAGTTTCGTGTACATTTGTTAAAAAAAATCCCAGATTAATTATACCTATCTTTTATCTGTAATAACTAGTTTAAAATTAACCTTATATCAATGTAAAAGGTACTTATGTCACATGTTAAAATAGCACGCTGTGTTTACCTGTAACTGATTGTGCATTTAGCTCATAATAGTTTATTACAATGTAACTAATTTAAGTTTCTGTAATGTAACAGTCGTTGGTAGACCAAATAAATAAATAAATAAATAAATAAATAAATGTTATACGAATGTGTTACGTGACCGAGGATTTGCGTGATGAAATGAACATGGAGAGAGAGCGTAGGGCTTTAGCGACCCGGAGTAATACGAGTATGTTAACCCGTAGGTTTGCACGATGCAGTAATGCCGTAAATTTTTTTTATAGGATCGGGTGACAAACGAGCACACAGTCCACCTGATGGTAAGTGGTTACTGTGACCCATAGACATCTACATCTATCCTCAATAAAGACTCAAGATGCAGATGCGTTGTCACCCGTGAGGACTAAGATGGAATGCCTCTTTGCCAGTAAAAAGGGTCTCCGGTTCTCTACACTCACCATACGAAACACAGCAGCGTTAAGCTGCTATTTTACGCTGGTTTTCTGTGAGAGCGTGGTCCTTCCCCGGTCGAGCCGACCCATTCGCGCTACAACCATAATATAGCTGCAGCATGGCTCTACCATGTAATAACTCTTTTTCAGGTATATTGCCATACAACTTTCTATTCGTGCTCCCTTTGGGTCAACTACAGACAAAGGGCGTATAAAGCATTAAAGGTGCAATATAACAATGCATTTAGAGTTCTTTTGAGGCTGCCCGCTACTGCAGCGCTTCAGGCATGTTCTGTGAGGCCCGCACCCACCGGGTTTGACGCTATAATGAGCAAAAAAGCCGCATCGCTAGTAAGCAGAACAAGGAATAGCGCCAACAGTATCTTGGGTGTTATAGCACAAGAACATGACTGCCCTATAATAAGGCAAATTATTAAGGTCCTGCATGGCTGACTTCCTGTGTGTGTGTGTATGTATGTATGTATGGATGCGTGCGTGCGCGCGTGTGTGTGTGTGCGTTTGCGTGCGTATGTGCATGCGTGAATGCGTGCGTGCGTGAGTGTCATTTTGCTTCCTCCGTCCACCTAGCTGTATTATTATTATTATTTTGTGATTTTTCTAATATCTCTGATATGGATCTCATTTGTTATCCGAAATAAAGATTTATTATTATGATTATACTTTTTTGGATAGCTGCAAAAACGTAAATATGTATAATCACCTGTGCAGCATACCTACCATAGACTTTTATTAATATTCCTGAAAGAAAAAAGAACTTTTTACGAATTTATTCCTTTTTCCTTTTTTAATTCTACGAGTACGACCAAGTTCATTTACTTACTAGCATTGTTAGTATTAAGAATAATAAAAAAACTTATCTACTACACAAAAAATTTAAAATAAAATAAATTGGAGCCACAAAAAACTCGTCAATTTTATGAAAAAAATCTTTAGTCCTGTATTATAAAACGGTTCAGTTTGGGGTTTGGTGTTTGATACCCGGAACAATTATATGTATGACCTACAAATAATTAGTCCGGCTGTGGATGTTTGTCCTTGTGCATTTTGTGTTTGTAAACTGCCTCCACGGTACAGGAGAAAATCGTAGTGTGGGGGTAGCGTTTAAAAACGATAATCAAATCAGTCAGAAATGATGTACACTACAGCCCTATACTAAAATTTCTTCGGATATCTTATTGTTAATTAATAAAATCTAATACATTTACCTACCACTTGTCCAGCAGAGGAATATTGGTAAAAAAGACATTTGTAAAAATTGAATATATAACGTGAAATTAAAAATATATGTCATGAATAAATATATAGTTGTGTAAATTCAGAATCAATAATAAATTGTTGTATGTTAATTGATTTTTAGTTCATGAATTTATAATAACTTATTCTTGGTTTGTAGATTGTGTTGCTAAGTCATTCCTTGGGGGCGGCCTGTGTTCAGCAGTGGAATTATGACGGGCTGCAGATAATTATTTATTCCCAGGGATTTTTTCATTTAATTAGAATTCTGAAGCTGTCTTGCTCCT